CTCATGTTTTCAGGCGTGTGCAGATTAGAACGGCACAAATTTTTTGGCCTGCCTATTAATTTTGTCGTCGCACGTAAAGCGACACAGCGGCGGATAAGTAAGTTTCAATATATATTTTGAACGAATCAAATAAATCTGTGATCACGCCGAAAGAAAAGTGATATGAAACAATATTTAAAATAATAGTTATTCAGATATCGTGAGATGCGGTCGGGTGTGATGTAGGTTTCAGAAAAACATTTTCTTTATCGTGCCAACGTTTCGATCTTTTATTGAGATCATTTNGTTGAGATGGGAAGTTGGTGTCCGAGTGGATCGAGGTCACGATAGCTCAAGTGGTAGAGCAGCGGCGTATTTAGCCGAAGGTCGTGGGTTCGAATCAAGCTCGTGACACTGACTTTTTTATCTCAACTAAAAACCTTAATTAATTGAAATATATTAATTGGTCAAGCGGACCACGAAAGCTAGTGAATTTAATACATACTAATGTTAAATAGTTTTATATTTTATAATAAGTTTCTATGCCCAAATGCATTTTACATTTGAAAAATGTAACATGTTATAATAACGTAGAATGTTTAATAAGAATGAATACTATATGAATAGCAAGACAAAGAATGTACAATATTAACTTTTCGAGGCATACAAAACATTATATTTTTTTTGTACACTATGCTTAAATATTTGTCATCAATGATTAAATTAATTGAAAGCATATTTTTAGTTTTACAACCACGATAGGTCAAAACTGTCTTGATTCTATATGAAGCAATTAGAGAGTGAGTTAATTCAGTATGGCAAGAACCTCGAAAAGGGGCGAGCCCCCATAGCGAATCAGATACCTAAACAATCTCTTTTCCACACCAAATCCTAGTGTTTAAAACAGTGGCAGATTCGTTAGAAGTCTGCGCATGGTGTGTCAGCCTTCGTAACCTTATTTCCGGATTTAGAATTAAGTTACTTAACCCAAGGGCCGAATCCACCAGACCCAACAGGAGTCGCTTCGACAGCCTCGTCATTACCCCTTCCTTATACCACACTGTCCCGGGATCCTCAAAAAGCTAACCTCTGACCTCGTACAATCTTTTAGAGCATCTTTTGTATTCTGAGATTCTATTTTTAAAAATTATTTGTTATAAATTTATTAGGGGGAGAAATCTTTTTTCAGAAATCTTGTTATACTCAAGTTTATATCTGGAGGGGAATCGGGGATACATATTGCTTTTGAATTTTGGCAACTGATAAGCCTGTGGTGTTCAGGACCCCTGAGACTCTAATGGCGAGGTGATGTTTATTTGAATTATCAATATTATTTATGATTTCAGAGGGAACGGGTTTTGTTTTGGGAGAACCTCTTCAACTGGATAACTGAATTAATTAGAAGCATGTTTTAATCCATTCACTAAGAAAAAAGAAGGTTAAATTGTTTGGAGAAAGGAGAAACTCATTTGATCACCCCATCCTTCACTGCTGGGCGTTTAATAACAACAAACGAGGTGAAAATAAATTAAAATGTAGTTTGGAAATAGTGTTCGGTATATTTATTTAATTTGATGCTGGTCGTTTTTTCAAGTTAGACCGTAAACGACCTAAAACCTGATTAAAATTTCAATTTACAGTTTTTTATTGCTAGAAGAGCGTAGAGGAGACAGAATGGTACCCGACGAGCTATTCGATTATAAAAGGAAACGCTTTCACGGTTATTTGCCGCTCAGACAACCCCAATACCATCAAGATAAGTGTACAGTAAATCTAACTCCGTGCCGATACCTTTGTGGTCACATGACCACTTTATTTTTAAAGCGGGGCGTTTGTTTTCTTTTCCTTCTTTTCAAAGAACTGCTCTTGTTTAAAACTTCAACTTCATTAATCTTTTAAAACTTTTCTTCCCTCCGCTGTCAGATTGCACGTCCCAAGATAAAATGCCGAGGAGAAGTTTATTCCGAAAATCAAGCTGCACAAATTCTTAACTTTTGGCAGGTTTATGTACTGTTTATTTTTCCTTGTCAATCAATCGTCTGTCCCGTAAAAACGGTTATTTAGAAAAGCGTTATTACATTAAACCAGGGGCACAAAACGTCACACGACTCTGATGTAACAATTACAAATCATTCAAATAAATGAACTCGGTCATTAATTTATTCCACGAATCGATAGGTTTGGCAATTGGGAACATTATAGCTATTCCTTCAACCCAACAGTTTTGGAGAATAGAATGTTGGTCAACAAGATAGATAATCAGAAAGAAGTATTGTATTATTTTTATTTGTAAGAATTCAGAAGTAGAAAAAAGAGGATATATAAAAATCCTTGACGTGACTGTAAAATAGTTACAAGCTGTTTTTTCTTACATGAAACAATTTAATTAAAAAAATTAAAGCTAAGCATTTACAAATGAAACAAAAGTATAAGTGATAAAATTCAATTTTCTATGAGGAGTCGGCTTGGAGGTGAAAGGGGCCGACAATGGAAAGAAAGGTTAAGGAAAGTTTATCTTTTGAGCCTGTGCGTTTTTGGAGGATTTTATAGGTCTGTTTGATGAGAGATGGGATAGGTTCTGATTTAAGTATGCTGTATGTGCTTGTGTCGTTGATAATTTTGTTAATGTTTTCATTGTACTCTTTTTTGCTGATTGCTACTGTTTGTTTTGTTTTGTCAACAGAAAGAATGAGTATGTTTGGAATATTTTTGAGAATTTTTTTGTTTTAGTGTCGATGTGTAATGAGATGTTGTAAGTGATTTGTTAATGCATTTTGATCGTGTTGTCTTTTTCTTCTTCTGTTTTTGTCGACTTTTGTATTGTATAGTTTACATTTATTTAGCTCTTGAGAAATTTGTGTTGTTGTAGGGAAAGGAATGTATGGGACAAAGCAATAAGAAGTTTTGGATTTCTAGAGAAATGTTAGTTTTTGTTAGATTTAGAAACCAATTGTTTACATTATGTGGTGCTTGTTTGTTAATTAGTTTGTTAAGTTTTATTGTGTGTTTGTTTTTAATTTGATCGAAGTGAATATTGTAGGCAATTTTTTGATATTTGTAGAATTTTCATAGGGCGTATGTAGATATTATGTTAGGAGCACTAAGTTTTACTGGCTGTAATTTTTCTGTTAGTGTCTTAATGGTTTTAATGCTGGTAGTGATTTCAATGTTTACAATGTTTCTTTTGAATTGTATTGTGGCCTTATGTATGTTGTTAAAGTTGGTGTTTGGTAATGCAAGTGTGGCATTTGTGAAATTAAAGTTGTTTCTGATCTATTTTAGATATATAGATAACAGGTTTTTAATCTATTACTAAATGATTTTCCTAACCATCCATAATCAACACTTCCGTCTACTCTCGCTGGTTCCCGTTTTATTATGCTAGTGACTTGGTGGAATCCCAAAGTTTTACTCTGTGTACCCAAATAAGTTGAAGTAATGTTTTCTCAAAAATTAGTTCTTTTCTATGATGTAAGATTTTGGTCCTGTAAGTCTTCCTTGATGTATATCCATAACATATGTTTAGTTCTTGTTGCACGAATCACGTTTATCGATTCCACCATTTTATTTTTGTAGATATCGGTAGTTTTTTTATTGTTAATCTATAGACATGGGCAAAGCTTTTTATTTATTTTTGCAATTGCAGTATCGTACGTTGCAAGTGTAATGTTGGGATCCCTTGTGGAAAAAACTCGTTGCAGCAACTCACTCCGAAGCAGCGGTCGCTTTGATAAATTTCAATGTGCTGCAAGGCCTTTAATCAGTTCTCTAGGAATAGACGATAGTTTGTATAAATCATGTTTTTTTCATCATAAATTTCAGGATAAAGTAGTATGAAATTGGAAGGAACTATTTCAGTTTGAAGAGAAGTCCCGTGCGCCATAACCTGGAACATTTCTAAGAATGCATCCGAGCAGGCTATCAAGTTCTACAAAGCAGAGAAAACAATGCCAACACCATTTCTGAATCTAGAATGAAAAAAACGATAACCAAATTGAATTGTGAAGGAATGACATTATGTAAATCTAAGATGAGTGTAAGGCGTTTTAAGAAGAGTTCGCATACTTCAAGTTAGATTTGCCATTCTTTAAACTAAGTAATAACATTTTTAATAAAGTTTTTAGTTGAGATAAAAAAGTCAGTGTCAAGAGCGGGATTCGAACCCACGACCTTTGGCTTGATACGCCGTACTCTACCACTTGAGCTATCGTGACTTCGACCTACTCGGACACCAACTTCCCATCTCAACCCCACCTTTTGAATTTTCCCTCCTTTTTTGCCATTTTTCAAATGTCGTGTAATCTATTTGATTCTCGGCGACAAATGAAATGGCCACGGGAGCTTTAGTGAAGGTGTACGTCATTTTTACTTATTAAATTCACTAGTTTTCGTGGTCCGCTTGACTAATTAATATATTTCAATTAATTGAGGTTTTTAGTGGAGATAAAAAAGGTAGGGTTGAGATGGGAAGTTAGTGTCTGAGCGGATCAAAGTCACGATAGCTCAAGTGGTAGAGCAGCGGCGTATCCAGCCAAAGATCGTCGGTTCGAATCCCCCTCGAAACGCTGACGTTTTTATCTCAACTGCAAACCTTAATTAATTGAAATAAATGAGTAATTATTATATTTTTAGAGAAAAGAAGTATACGATTTTCTAGTTTAGGCGGGAATTATTTTAAATGTGTAGAGATTAGTGACCGTTAATCGATAGTTATTCAGATATCGTGAGATGCGGTCGGGTGTGAAAATTTTTTCCATTTTTCAGTTTCATTTGTCGCCGAGAATCAAAAAGATTACACGACATTTGAAAAAAAGCCCGAGTTGGTAGAAGTCGATAGCTCAAGTGGTAGAGTAGCGCCGTATCAAGCCGAAGGTCGTGGGTTCGAATCCCGCTCGTGACACTGATTTTTTTTATCTCAACTAAAAATCTTAATTAATTGAATGATACTAATTGGTCCAGTGGACCACGAAAAATAGTGAATTTTTAATAAATGTGCTGAACTTGGATTGTTTAGTACTTACCAATCAGGTTAGTTTGACGTTCGAGTGGAGTGTCAATGACGACTCCATCTACGCTGGGTCCGAAGGTGGTTGAAAACGGCGATGACTCGACCTGTGTTGACATCAACAGGTCCAGGGGTCTTTCGCGGAGGCATTTCAGCAAATGTGCGTGTGACTGGTCCCAGGAACAGTTTGCGTGCCTGGCCAGCTGTCTGGCGTACTTCCACGGTTGACGTGTCAGAGACCAGGGCGCGTTCGCAGACCCGCTCATCATTATCGCCCTATGAAACAGGACTCCTGCAACAAAATTGATTGAAAACCTTAAATATTATTCTTACACACTTTAAAATAAAAGTATTAATTTTAGGAAAAAGTGCTCATATTTTTGGATTTGTAATCTTGATTTGGTAGTTATTTCAGTAAGCCATGGCAATCGGTTCATAAATCCTTAATCTATTTAATGCTGCAAATGATATAAATTGTAATTTTATTTTCTATTTTATATAAAGTATTGCTTCTATTTCTCTATCACTCTAGGCGCCATTTAAAAATTTACTTGCAATTTTAGTTGTGTTGGGTAGTTAGAGTTTGCTGAGCGTCTTTAATAGTCTCCTTGGGTAGTCTGAACTACTCAGTGCCTGTCAATGCTGATAGAAGCACGATCCCATTGAACGAAATAATTATTCCCTCACTATTATAATATTGACAGTGTACAGTTGATTGAGTTCGATGACTAGTATTATATTACTTATTTTTTTCGCGATTACAGAATTGTGATTATCATTAAGTGGGACAAGAATCTCGATATTTCCGTTTTCTTGACTTTAACGAGTAGCAGGAAAAATGATTGTTTGTCCTCTGCTTCTGCCAGTAATTATACATTCGTCTCAGTTCTGTGGCTCCTCTTGAGTCAGTTTGCTGGATTTGCATATGAAATGGGGAACGATTTTTTCACCAATCCTTCTCTAATCGCTATGGCTTTACGGTAAATCCAAGTCATTATGTTGCAAATACTTTTTCTGCATGTACCCCGCATCCACGTGTCACGTGTTTGAGGGATCCGAATGTGTTGGCGCAAAGGTGACACTGATTAGTTGCAGTAACACCCTTATTAATGTGTCCGCGGTAAGATCTAATTGCTATTTTTTTTGGTCCTGTGTAGCACATATGAATCCTTTTGTTTCCCTGAAAAGTCGGGATGTAAGCCAGTGAGTTGAGTTTCATTTATTGCTGGATTGTACAGATGATTGTAGAACTTTCGTTGTAGTTCTTTCCTTGCTATTCATTTTTCTATTATTTTAGAGTTGAAGTAGGATGATTTTCCTGCATGTTAAGGTATAATGCTATGCGTTATTCATGTTTACAATGGCCTGATGATAGAATTACTGTTTTGAAATTGTCGAAGACTGATTTCCTGTTTGGCATATTTCCTCTACATTAAGAGCCCACGGCCTCCCACTTTCCTAGGCAAATACAATCTTGGTGAACCGGCATAAAGTCCCTTATTTGGTATGTACATAGCATACATAGTAAACAAAAACATTCAATTCACCATGTAAACTGAAAACAACAGCATCAACTTCTAGGACGTCAGAACCGGAATCACAGCGAACCGTAAAATCGACTTCCAAATATGCAGAAAACGTACTGCAACCGACATCAAACATCCAATCCAACTACCAACACCAACAAAAATTTCAGCATTAGGCATAAATTGTTGAAGTCAGAAGGAGCGGTCGAGAATGACGTCGTTTAGAAAAACACCTTTTTCATTTTTTCTTATATTTCGACCTTTATTCGGGCCATTTTCAGGGCATAAAGTGTGGTGCTATTCTTGTGGTGTCATTTTGGTTTCTAAAATAATCTCATTTAAACAAATTATGAAACAACAGGTCACTAAGAAACACACATTAGACATAAACTAAATACCCCAACAGTGAAAATTACAACAAAGAACTACAAACAATAACGAACATAGCAAAAAACGGATACAAAACAAGCACCATCCAAAAATTATTAAAAAACAACGGAAAACTAAACAAATATCAACAACAAATGGACAACACTGGCAAAGACACCTACAGACTAACGAACTTATTCAACAAATCGGGATTCAAAACAGCTCTAAGGACCACCAATAACCAGGTAAACTACACAACTGACCCGCTAGATAATATCGGTGTTTACAGTGTCACATGCCAATGCGGAGAAATATACATTGAACAGACTGGAAGGAAATTAAAGATCGATTCAAATATCGATCCTACAAAGACAGCGATGGCAAATCGAATTACGCCAGACACTTAATACGTCACAACACGATTTAAATACAATTGAAACAAACACGACTTTAATACACAACGCACAGAAGGACGAAAATCAAAGCAAAGGAGACTCTTGACCTATATCAACAAATTACACTTCAAGACGAAAAACTTATAAATGTACAAGCAAACTAACATTCACACATTTCTTTCATGCCATTAAAAACACTACATAACAAAAAACTCCGTTCAGAAGAATACAACATCAAAACCAACACCATAATTTGACAGTCAGTTCCTCACTGAAGATGGCGCAGTGCCGAAACGCATGTGAATAACAACAAACCAGCGAGTGAAGACAGTGACCCGATACCGGTGCAGCATGAGTTCACCGACTAACAGACCAACACCAACCATCAACTCAAATACAGTCTTGCTATTGACGTCACTGGGTGGTGCTTTGCTCTCGAGCTTTGGTAAGCTTTGTTCTGACGAATCTACCCACTTCTTTAATTATGTCAAGACCGAAGAATTGTTTATGTCTGTATTGCTTTTATTTTTAGTCTCCCAGTATCCAATTCCTTAAACACACCCTTCCTAAACCAGTCCAAAAATGTTTTCCTGCACTTTTCTGCCAATCGTGAGGTATTGCTCCATTCCCCGGTTTTTATATTTTCTCCAAAAGGATTCTCTTACCTACTTGCTTGAGTTCATTTGGATGTTAGCAAGACATTGCACTACCCTCCAGTGAAGTGCAAAACAGCACATTTATCAGGACCACTCTTCATAACTATCGCGACAATGTCTATCATACTTTACAGTTGATCGTTATTTTGTGCGTAGAGCCATGGATGGTCCATGAATTATAATTATTAATGGATAATAATTAATTTATTTAACAAGTGTCAATAATTAATAATTCAATTACTGCTAACCGAAAATAATGGCCTAAATGCAAAACCAACTTTTATGTTTATATGGTGAAAAGTTAGACAATGGTTTCCAAATAGCACTTTGTTACCTGCACAAAACTTTTTACGTTCTTGCATATGCCCGCCTGTTTTTTTTTTGTAAATTTCAAATGCAATTTACAATACTAGTTAATGATTAAAGTAGTAACAAAATATACTTAAAGCAACAAGTGAATGATTATATTAATATATGATTTTCAGTTGAGATTAATGTTAATAACAACAATAACAGGAGTTCGTTGGGGATTTTAACTGGTAGTGGAATGACATTTGGTTCAAAATATAAGACTGACGATTAACATTTATTTTATGTGTACGTGATACGTTTATTTTTTCCCAACAATTTTACACGAACGGTCCCAGTTTGAACGTTACTTAGGTTTGCCCGTTGTGAGAATTCACGAGGTGTGTCGATCTTCAGCCAGGATGATTTAACTTTTTGTGAAGAAATGTTACCGTATTTGGACAAAATCGATGTTTGTAAAGCCACGAGAATTATCACGTTTATCAATCAGTGAGTGAGGTAGGAGTAGTACAGGAGCGGTAGCTAAGGGGAGGCTTGTTTAACCATTCCAAACCGGATGAGAGTAATTTACTTTCCCAGTTTATTCAGTCAATGTCTTTTTATCCTCGAGGTTGAGAAAAGTGGACCGGCACCCGGAGAATATTGAAGGGCCACTGGAAATTCTGTAGCGGTTCGTGTCTAGAATTCTAAATTCGTTTTATTTTATCGGTGCCGAATCAAAGCGGAAAATTGAAACCAGAGAATTTGAATCTGTTTTAAGGGCTTCTTGAATTATTGAATCGTTTCATTTTACAAAAGTGGCTCTATTTTGAACACGCTATGTGCCGAAATTCACATTTATCGTAAACCTCATTTGTGAACCATCAGGTGTACACTTCTTTGACAGATTCATATTTTGTCTGATGAATTTTTTATGTCTTCATCACATATATCTATGTTAAACTTTTTTAAATGGAACAAAAGCTGGTTAACAAACAGCAACTTTACTGCGTGTTTATTTAGACACGTACACACAAAAAATTCCCGCATGGCGACAGTTGTCCGTTGGGCTTTGTCAACACAAAACCAGAAAAGCCACCCTAACCGTTCCAAAATGTTAGTTCCGACGCCTTCTCCCGGGTCGACAATTTATTTTCATCGCACTTTAATCCATCGTATATCCTCGTTTACTGAATTCTTATTGAAAATTTTGAAAGTCGAATTAAGCGTTTATTTTAACCTCTTTCTTTCAATTCAGAAACAATGACAACGTGTCTGGGCGTTCTTCGAAATGTACCTTAGGACTCGAATTTTTTTAAAAATAATTCAATTCAATTTTTTTAAACTATGGATTTCTATCGACGTTATACAAGTATTTCGAGGCAATTCGAATCGGTTTTTGTGACAACCTACTTTGCAAAAACACGAAAAAATAATTCTTCTGGCGAGATAATCTAAGTCATTAAAACACAATACATTTTTTTTAAACAATATGAATAATCCATTATATTTCGTGGTCCGATTGACGAAATAACTTCTCTAAATTAATTGATCTTTTTATGTGAGGTATTTGCTGAAATGAAAAAGTTAGTGTCACGAGCGGGATTCGAACCCACAACCTTCGGCTAAATACGCCGCTGCTCTACCACTTGAGCTATCGTGACCTAGATCCACTCGGACTCTAACTTCCCATCTCAACTCCACCTTTTGAATTTTCCGTCCTTTTTGCCATTTTTCAAATGTCGTGTAATCGGGATTCTATTCTCGGCGACATATGAAGTGGTCACGGAGAGCTTTAGTGAAGATGTACTTCGTTTTACTTATTAAATCCATTATATTTCGTGGTCCGATTGACCAATAACTTCTCTCAATTGATTAATATTTTTATTTTTTATGTCTTTTTATATACATTGTTTAAATTATACAAAGACATGAATATCGATGTGAAAATGAATTTATAGAATGATGTACAAAATATAGAAATTTTCAGTTTGATGAAAGTATTTGTACTCACACTCAAAGTGTGTGTTTTCTGTGTAGATGTGCCACGGTGGTGTA